ATCTGAATATGGCCTTGAATAGTAGTTTAGATGACTAAACTGACTGACTTAAAAACAAATCCACAAAACACTATGTACAAGTCTTCATTTTGGTAAAAAGCACACATATGTAAATATATTAAAATGTGTAGGAAAATATATATTATTATATAAACTGTAACCGTGAGGGATTTTTTTTTTTTTTTTTTTTTTGAGATGGAGTCTTGCTCTGTCGCCCAGGCTGAAATACAGTATCATGATCTTGGCTCACTGCAACCTTCACCTCTCAAGTTCAAGCGATTCTCTGTCTCAGCCTCCTGAGTAGCTTGGATTACAGGTGCCCGCCACCACACCCAGCTAAATTTTTTTGGTATTTTTAGTAGAGACAGGATTTCACTATATTGGCCAGGCTGATCTTGAACTCCTGACCTCAAGTGATCCACCTGCCTTGGCCTCCCAAAGTGCTCGGATTACAGGTGTCAGCCACCGCGTCTGGCTGAGGGATTTTTTTAAAAAACTAATTTTACCAGCTGGGGCAACATAGCAAGGCCCTATGTCTACAAATAATAAAAAAAATTAGCCAGGTGTGGTGGTATGCACCTGTGGTCCCAGCTACTTAGGAGGCTGCGGCAGGAGGACTGTCTGGGCCCTGGAGGCCTGGGCTACAGTGAGCCATGATCACTCCACTATACTGCAGCCTGGGTAACACAGTGAGATTCTTGTCTCAAAAAAACAAAAACAAAAACAAAAAAAAACAGCGATTTGTTTTTTTGCTTGTCTATTTTCTATGATCTTCCTGTATGCTTCTGCAATAGAAGACTATTTAAAAATGTTTAAACATGTATATACCCACTATTTACTGAGCATCTATTACATACAAAACTCTGGTAGAACTGAGTTAGAGGAGTCACAGCCTTAAAGAAACTTACAACTAATTAAGGAGAATAATATTAAGAGAACAGCAAAAGTGATGCAAGATAGAATATAAACATCACTGAAGTAAAATGTGGCTACCAAGATTCTAAGAAAAAGATCACACTTGATTGGGAAGAGGAGGAATGGTGAAAAAAAAAAAAACTTTATAAAGGAGAAAATTTGAAATGGGAAGGATTTAACTGACAGAGGAAATCGTAGTCACTAAAGATAAAGCATGGGTTCCCTGTCAAAGAACAGTTAAAACACATAATAGAATATGGTTAGAACACAGGATATATGAAGGGCACAGGCAGTAAGCTGGAAACACAGGTTGCAAGGGTCTTGAATTTTCAGAAGGGACTCCCTCTGTAAGCTTTCTGAGTTTAAAAATGAGGGGATTATCACAGATTCCAATTCAAGAAACTGTTCTACCACTTCTCATCTCTATTGCTACCACTTTGGTTTATGCCACTACCATCTCTTCTGAACTCTATCAACACAATCAACTCCTGACTCTGCCTCTATTCTTAGACTCCACTCCTATAGTCTATTTTCTTTTTTTGAGACAGAGTCTCACTCTTGTTGCCCAGGCTGGAATGCAGTGGTGGGATCTTGGCTCACTGCAACCTCTGCCTCCTGAGTTCAAGTGAATCTCCTGCCTTAGCTTCCTGAGTAGCTGGGATTACAGACATGTGCCACCACGCCCAGCTAATTTTTTATATTTTTAGGAGAGATGGGGTTTCACTATGTTGGCCAGGCTGGTCTCAAACTCCTGACCTCGGGCGATCTACCCGCCTCCGCCTCCCAAAATGCTGGGATTACAGGTGTGAGCCACTATGCCTGGCCCTGTAGTCTATTTTCTATATAGCAGCCAGACAGATCTTTTTACAACACAAATTATCTTACACCTTTACTCAAAAATCCTGCAACGACTTCCCGTCTCACACAGTAAAAAGCCTAAGTCATCAGAATTTCTCTAAGGACCCTAAAACACTGCCCTCTCACCCTTTAACTCTGAGCACAATTTGTACTACTCTTCTACTTGTTCACTCTATTCTATCCACACTGGATTTCTCTGCCACAATTCCTTAACTATTCCAGGCATACTTCTGTCTCTACCACTCTTTATTTGCCTTCCCTTCTTCAGGTTTAAGCCTTCTCTGACTCCACCGTACATAAAACAGCAAGCCCTACCAACCTCCCTGACTATTGGCTCAAAGCAAAAGATTCAGCACTCCCCTATTTCCCCAAACTGGCTTCATTTTTTTCTGATGATACTTAACATTATCTGCTATTTTATTGCTATTTGCTTATCTGTCCCAAATACATACACAAATATGCGAGTACATACATATATACACAAATAAACTGAAGCTGTAGGAGGGAAGTGTTTTTTCTTGTACATTTCAGTATCCCCAGCACCTAGAACAGGGCCTGACAAATAGCAGGTGCTCAACAGATACTTGTTTTATGAATGAAAGGAAGAAGATAACACGGTGTCAGTAGATATTTAATTGAAATGGTTTATGGCATACTGTAAATATTTACATAAATAGAACCTACAGTAAATTAATTCCCATTTACTGTGTAATTTTCCTATGGGAATTATTCACTAATATAGTGCTTGTAAATTAACCTTTAATTAATTAGCAATCTATCTTTGCAAGGCTTATCTTCAAGTCAGCTATTTGGAACAAGGGTGGCAGTGACTGACAATCACAGGATGGAGTCTTTTTTTTTTTTTTTTTTTGAGACTAGGTTGCACTCTGTTGGAGTGCAACCATAGGATGGAGTCTTTAATTATTATTTCCCTCCTCTTTTCACTTCTCCCAAATCAATAAGCAGTAATTCCCCACCTCCTTTCTTCCTCCACACTTAGTTCTGAACTTTTCTCTTTTCTTGGGAATAGGTCTAATCCATAGACCTATGAGCCCCTATTCTTGGAGGGTAAGGCCAGAAACAGAAAGTAGGAGGGTGATAAAGGACTGTTAAATGGTTACCAGCAATAGAGAAGAGCCCAGGCAAGGGAAGTTCATGCAGAGGACGCTGGAGAGGCCATCAATTCTATTCTTTTCTTTTTTGTTTTTGTTTTTCTTTTAGCCCACAATGAACATCATAAACAATTCTTAACTTAAAAAAATTTTTTTAACTTAGAAGGTCCTTGTATTTTAAAAGTCAACACGAAATAATACTAACTCCTTTCCTGTCCTCTTTTTAAATATACAATACTGAAAGAAGAGTGATACTTTATACATGTTTTAAAGTTAAAAACCTAAACTTAATTTCATTGTGAAGAATTTCATGCATATACAAACCTTAGGGGGGAAAAAGCCATAAGGAATGATCAAGTAACCATCACTCAGGTACTTTAAATCTTAATCTCTTACCAAGCCAGCTTCAGATGTTTTCAAGGATGTAAAGATATGCTTGTAAACCTCCTAGATCCTTCATCGTTCTCAAGTTCTCCAGAAGTCACTTTTATTCTGACTTGGTGTTTATCATTCCCATGCATGTTGTTATACTTTTGCTACATACTGCACAAATCATAGAAAACATGTAGTATAGTTTTGCATGAGACTATATAAATGGTCTATCAAATCGCTCTGTCACTTACCAGCTGTTTGATTTGACCGAAGACAAGTTACTTAGTATCTCTGTGCCTCAAGTTTCCTCTCTGAAAAATGACAGATACTACCTACCACCCTACAGGGTTGTTGTGTGGATTAAGTTAATACACTATATATAAAGCATCTAGAAAAGTACCTTGCTCATAGGAAGCAATATATATGAGCAAATATATATTGCTCATATATAATAGCAATTATCATATAAAGCTGCAAAAGGACCTTTGACTGTGTCCGATATACAAATACATAAACTGAAAAAGATTACCAAAATAAGATATGTAAAATCCACATAATGCCAGATTTTCAAAATAGTGTCAAAACTATAAATACTTATAAAGTTCAGGCTACGGAGGTTGACTATTCTACTTAAAGAGGACTTGAAAATACTAGGAATAGAGAAAAAAGCCTTTATTTTTTAATTTACAAAGTGTAGGTAACATTAAATTAGAACATTTAAATAATTTATGATGATTTAAAAATACCTAAATACTTAGCGGCCTCTTTTTATGAGATTTGGGGGAAGGGTTGGGAGAGAAGGGGCAATCCCTTAATGAGATGCTATTCAAAGACTTCTTTGCCTGCTTTGAAAGCACTTTAGATTTCACACATAACAAAACATTATTTGGTACTCAAATTTCATTACATTTCTGAACTAGTTTCTCACTCACTGTAAGCAGAACAAATGAAAATTTAAAATGATGTTTTATAATAGGATTCACCAATATTATACAATTTTCATAAAGACAATTAGATTCTGCAAAATGTATCAAATCTATTAAGGACATATTATACTTGTGATACAGGATTATTTTTTAATAGTCTCTAGGTCAAAAGATCAGCAAACATTAAAACTTAAATGCCCTATATATTATGTGAATTGTAATGGATTTCTTTCCTGGGGTTTTTGAAGATTTAAAAATATGTACGTACGTTGAAGATCAACTGATATACGTAATTTGACACACAGAGGAATAACTCTAAGTATCTGCTAGGTGCTATTTACTGGGCTAGATGTTTCACCCAAGATCTGTCTTTTAATGTTAAATATCTTTATGAACAAAATTTAGGAGACTACCACAGACACTTTGTTTAAACAAATATACTTCTGCAAAGTGTTAAAAATGACTACTATAAAAGCCAACATTTAAACTGGTAAAAGCCTATAAAATGTAAGTGACTGTGCTAATTATATTAATACAATAATGTTGTAAAGTTTGTTGTCTCTAGAATTTAGCACATATTTTAATGTCTAAGAGGTTAACTGAAAGGAACAATTAAGTGTAACATAAAAGATAAACTCTGTGTCTCCCCTCCACCAAAGAATATCCCCGGAATACGAGGTGGACGGAGGACTTACACTGTAGGAAAAGTTGAAAACCAAAGTTTACTTTACTTCTCCTCAAGTGAGAACTTTGAAACGGAACCACTGCTTTTGTTTCATTCCACCCCGCCCCCCCACCCAGTAAAAAATTTACATGTGTGAGTCAGTTCTTCCTTTGGCCCCAACAGAAGACTCAGTATAACCAAGCTATAACTTGCACAAACCAACAAGGAAAAAAACCTTGCTATTCCCACTACTTTCCTAATAGACCAAGGACCCTACCACCGCTCATCCCATACACTGCCTCTGTCCCAAGCAAGACGCAGCACCTGCCAAACCAGGCGCTTAAAGAATGGTCCAACTTTTCAAAAGCAATCTGGAGAGGAGACGCAGATAATTTCTTGAAGAGTACAAGAAGGCAGCAGAAAAGGTACTCTCAAGGAAGGGATGCGCGAGCTTTGGGGCCGTCCCCTCTGCCTGTTGGAGGTTTCCAAATTCGCTTACTTCAGAGACCCTTGGAAGCAGCACACTCAGGTCGCGGCCAGCCTCGGGCCTCGGTGAAGGAGGCAGTGTTTACACCTGTCACGAGGGAAGGGGAGCAAAGCCCCAAACTTCTGAACAGCTCCCGGGAGAATGCAGCCAGCGCGAAGCTTTGGGCAGGTGGAAGCAAACAGGCAGGAAGAGCTGGCAGTGGCCGGGAAGGGAAGGACTCCCACTTCCCCAGCCGGTGCCCGGGATGGCGAAGAGGGGGCTGTGTGCTTCGGGCGCCACCAGCGGCGTTCCCGTACTCGCCGCAGAAGAGAGCACAGCCCGAGCCGGGAGTCCGCAGGCCCGCAGAGCCGGCTCCGTCCTTGCAGCCCTCGGCTCCGCGGCGGGCAGGTGCTCCCGGCCCGGGTGAGGGTCTGGCTGGTGGGCCGGGCCCGGTCCCTGCACCCTCTTTCCCGGGCGCAGCTAGGGGAGGAAGCGACGGCGCTTACCTGGCTCCTTCGGGGCGGCCGCGATGGCCATGGCTCAGGGGCCCGGGGAGGAACTGGCTCCCAGGGGAAGGACCGTCTATTCCGACGCGGAACTGGTGAGAGCGGAAGGCCGGCTGCTCGCAGCCCTGTCAGCGCAGCAGCGCCATGGGCACCCACCCAGAGTTTCAGCGCTGCCGCGGGACCCCCATCCCACTACCCTCCGCCCTCTTCCGCCGCCGCCGCCGCCTCCACCTCCTCCGCGGAGACCCCCCGCCCACTCCACACACTCTCCCATCATGCAGCGGGAGAAACCGCTGCCGCCAACACGTCACTTCCGGGCGCAGGTGGCTAGGTCGGGACCGGGCGCTGGTGGGTGCTGTGGGGTGGGGGAGGACACTCTAGGGGAATTGGTGTCACAGAACGCTTACCCCTGCGCAGGCGCTGTCGCGCAGAGCGCCGGCCGCCATTTTGGGTGCGGGCAATCTGCCCTTTCTTTTTACTTCCTCACGAGTCATCGAGCTGTAGAGGGATAGACGTCTTCCCGCACTCAGGCGCACGCTGAGGCAGCGCAGCCTGCGAGGGACAGGTGCTCCTGTCAGCCAGTTAATGTTAACATTCAGCTCAGGACCGGGTTAAGTCTCTCGCTCTCCAAATAAAATTGTAACAGTTTGGAAATGTAGAATCACATTTTTACCAAAAACCTGCTACAGAGTATTCGTCAGCTTGCCCTTTTCGCCCCGAAAAACGACTTTTTCATTCACAGCCTAAGTCCCTTCCTCTTTTTAAATGTATGCTGACAGAGGAAGAAGCTGATATTTAACCAATAACGAGAAATTGCGATAGAATTTGAGGTGGGAAAGCAGCCGCCGAACTGGCAAACTGTCTTCGAGACCAACAAAAAAATAGTCCGGAATTTGGCTTGGAGATGGTGGTCGTTTTTCATAGATTCTTCGGGAGAATTTCCAGTGAGGCTAAAGAAATCACTATAAACTTCTGCATTCAAATGCATTTCTGGAACAGAGGTCGTAAGAGACTTTGTTTCCATCATCAGTCCTGATTTGCGTTTTTATTACCTTTCCTCCTTCTTTACCATGAATATCTGTTAGAACACCGGCCAGTGTAAAAATAAAACTACAGGGCTACAGGATTATTATTACTGTCTCGGTTGATGAGCCCGGGGTCCTACAAATCATGAGCCCTGCCTGTTTCTCATTCTGCCCATATTTGCCAAACGTCTGCATCAGTAATTGAATAATTTAAAATAGTTCCAAAACAGCAAAGCTCAGCAGCTACGCAAAGAAACAAGGATGGGAAACACCCCCTCAGGCACAGAGAAGTGTCCACTCCTAATCAGGCGAAAGATAAGGACAATAGCAGTTCATCACGATTTATCCCGCCTCTGCAATGTACTAGACAAATTAACTCGGAGCGCTCCAATAGACCCGCATTTGTCTCTTTACTACTCAATCGCTGTAAGATATACGGGCACTGCATCACTTTAAATGGGAGTATCAATTGCTTCGTGGTGATGCTAGATTTTGTGTTATTGCTCAGTCACTAAAGTAAGAAAAATCTATATTGGCTTGTCAAATTTATGCCTATTGTATTTCGCCCCCTGCTGGTTTAGCTCGTGTGCAAGCTTGAATTTGTGTGTGTATAGAAACTGGAAATTGATTTTAAACGAACACATGCTTGTTTTCATTTGATAGCTCCACTAAACAGAAATATCAAAATAAGAAGAACAAATGACTAGACCTTAAAGCAGACCCTACACTAAGAAAATGTTTAAACTAAATGAATTTGAACTGCACTTCAGCCTGGGCAACAGATATTAAATTATATCTGTCTCAAAAAATAATTAAATTAAATTGCACCCCCCACCCCGCCCCATCAGCTTACAATTTTGTAATAGGAAAACTAAATACCTATTTGGCCAACTAAGTTGTAATTGGTAATCTTACATGTAATTCTGAAGACCGTGCTCTAATGCTTATGAAATTTTATTTATTACAAAAGGAAAGTATTTGAATGTTTTTAAGATGATAAATCTATGGGAAATATAAAGTCCATTTCATCTGGAGCCAACAATAGTATTGTTTTTACCTACCTTGTTAAAAATTATGTCCATAACTGCATTATCTAAGATTTGGCATCAAGAAAAGAAGAAGGAAAAAAAACTACCAGTTAACATTTGTTGTAGTTAATTCTAGATTTTTTTTTTCCTGTTTAACTTTTTACAAACTTGTTATTTAAGTAGATTTTATGTCCCCTTTTTCACCTAATGTGTTGTAAGCATTTCCTCCTATCATTTAATATAAAACCTTAATTTTAATTGCCTGCTTAGTGGTCAATGGAATGACCACTATATGGATATTTGTTACTATTATAAAATAGTACTTATGTGAACATTTTGTGTGTGTGGCTTTGTTCAATTTTAGGATTTTTTTTCTAAATATAAAAGTACTAAGCCAAAAGGCTATGAATGTTTTATTGGTAATTTCCAAGAGACTACTAATTTAGAATGCCACCAGGAATATAGGAGTGTACTAATTTGACCACCTCTTTACCAACCAGCAGTGAATAATAATTAAGAGGGGGGAAAAGGTTGACTAGACTAAAACGTGAAAACAATTTAATTCATTATATTGTATAAGAAATTAACAGACAAGCAAGAACAAAACCTCAGCAATGTGGTGGTCTGGAAAGGCAATATGGGTAGAACCTGAGTCTATGACTAGGTTCTGTTATCACTATGATTTTGTTTAAGTTATTTAACCTCTCTTGACCTCAGTCTCCTTATATAACAAATGAGAGAATGCAGTGAGATCACAGATTCTCAGCCCTTTTAGGACAAATAATGTTTTGGCACATGTATCTCTTCAAGAATATGGTGAAAGCTTTGGCTCTTTCTGTAGAAAAATGCTTCTATCCACAGACACTCAAATTTCTCATCCTAAAGCTCATTCATGGAATAGGGTCTATGAATCATAGCTTAAGAAATATGCACCAGGTGATCCCCAAGATCTTTTCTGTATCTAAACATTTACCTAAGATGTTATTTATTTATTTATTTTTTTGAGACAGGGTCTCTCTCCTTTGCCCAGGCTGGAGTGCAGGGTGCCATCATGGCTTACTGCTCCTGGGCTCAAGAGATCTTCCTACCTCAGCCTCCCAAGTAGCTGGGACTACACGTGCATGTCATCATGCTCAGCTATTTTTTTAATTTTTTGTAGAGATGGGGGTCTCACTATGTTGCCCATGTTGGTCTCAAACTCTTGGGCTCAAGCAATTTGCTTACCTTGGCCTCCCAAAGTGCTGGGATTACAGGTATAATCTCACAACTACTTCTTGAAATATGTCCTTCATACAGTTTTATAAAAATAGGATATTAGGTTGGGCATGTGGGTGATTCCTGTAATCTCAGCACTTTGGGAGGCTGAGGTGGGCAGATCATTTGAACCCAGGAGTTCAAGATCAGCCTGGGCAACATATTGAAACTCCATCTTTACAAAAAATTAGCCATGCAAGGTGGCATGCTCCTGTAGTCCCAGCTACTGGGGAGGCTGAGGTGGGAGGATCACCTGAGCCCAGGAGGTCAAGGCTGCAGTGAGTTGTGATTGCACCACTGCACTCCAGCCTGGTTGACAGAGCAAGATCCTTTCTGATCTTTCTTGATTTGCTTATCAAATTTATTGCATAAATAATATGTTACAATTTGGTATTATAGTATTTTCTGGACTACTGGATATCTAGAACTTTCTGGACACATTCAATGTAAAATTCAATGAAAAATATTGAATAGTTCAATATTTAATATGTCTTAACCTGTTAGGACAGTATTATCTGTAAAATTAGAGGGAGAGGTAGGGAAGAAACTGCGATTTGTTTACATTATTTCTAAAGGTGCTGAAACTTTCAGCAAATTTTTTAAAGGCTCGAATTCTGTATATAAAGTTCTATCAAATTTTATAGACCTTTCCAAGGAAATAATTTTGAAGGATGGGCTTCTGGTAGTGGTAATTGACATTAATACATAAGATTTAAATCAAAGACCCCAGAGTCATTTCCTGGATTTATTTAGACATATTCTTCTGCCACATGAGGACACAGTATTCCACCCCCTTTGGAGGATTCAGCAACAAGATGCCATCTTGGAAGCAGAGAACAGCACACACTGAACAACCAACCCTCTTGGCATCTTTATCTTGCATTTCACAGCCTCAGAACTGAACCTGTCAGCCGCCCCAGCCCACACTGCCGGGCGATGCGTTTGTCTGTCCACATCTGCCCTCGTGTCCCGTGAGGTCGGGGCGGGTCTCTGACCCTGTCCCAGCACCAGCCAGCGTCGGGTATGCAGCTATAAGTGACTAAGTGACTCATGGGTCTACCACATATCAAACAATATAGATGGAGTGTTCTCTTGAAGGGAGCTGCAGCCCAACTTTCTTCTTTACTTTAGTCTTCTTCAAGCCTCTCTCTTGGCTCTGAGCAAAGCTTTGAAAGGCTCATGATATACTATCCTGATTGTAGAAATGGTTCCACTGTCAACCCGCTATGTTGTGAAATTCAGCCTGATCACCTGGAGAAAACGTGACCTTTCTAAGCAACTTGTCTCAGAAAGGAGAAAAGTCTCCTTTACCTTGAAGAGATTGGCCTCAGGGCACTGTGGAACAGTCAAGTGGTAACTCTGTTTCTACATTTGTCTCTTATTTCAAGGTGAACAGAAGTGGAAACCTTGCTGTGAGTCATGACAAAAATAAAGATGTTAAGTAAAATATTAAAATTAATTACACCTTTTTTTTTTTACTGTAGCTACTAGAAAATTTTAAATTGCAATGTGCCTCATAAATTTTTATTGTACAATGCTGAACCTTTGTTTAAAACCTACCTCTGTCTTTAAATTTGTGTAGTTGTAGGATCCAGGGACATACAATAGAGGTAGTTCTCATGCACTTTTAGCAGTTGCATGAAAGCAGAAACTTTGGTCTGCTTTATTTATTTCTATATTCTCAGCTTCAAGAACATGGCCTGGCATGTGGTTGATGGCAATACATATCTATTCAATAAATAACATTCCCTTGAATGAATGGGATGGGTAGTTCTAGAAAAAAAAATTTAACGTATTTCTTTTTTTTTTTTGAGACAGAGTCTTACTCTGTTGCTCAGGCTGGAGTACAGTGGCACAATCTTGGCTCACTGCAACCTCCACATCCCGGGTTCAAGTGATTCTTCTGCTTCAGCCTCCCGAGTTGCTGGGATTACGGGCGGACACCACCACGGCCTGCTAATTTTTGTATTTTTAGTAGAAACAAGGTTTCACCATCTTGGCCAGTCTGGTGTTGAACTCCTGACCTCAGGTGATATGCTTGCCTTGGCCTCCCAAAGTGCTGGGATTACAGGCATGAGCCACTGCGCCCAGCTGAAAACTTTAATGTATTTTTAATAGCTTTCTTGAGGCTTTGCTATTTATCATGTCTTTCAATGGTTTTATAGTTATATAGGTAAAATATCAATTTATAATCCTATCCTTGATTATTATTTTTGTAATTTTTCCTTTTAAATTAATTGACAATTTACTGAACACCTTTGCGCATTCAGCTTCCTCTGTATCTGTGCTGAGAGTCTGTAAAGAAACAGGCCTTGGTTCCTGCCCAGAACCAGGAGTTAACAGTCTAGTTAGGGAGACAAGGCCAATATACCTTTAACAATTGCCACCTTGAAACTTCTGATTCTATCAAATGGAGAATAATTAAGTGCTGAAGCTACATAGGATTAACAATAAAAGTAGCAAGTTCAGGGAAGAGGAAAATCTGCTGGAATAGTTGGGAAATGCTTCATTTCAGATACGTGTTTGCCCCAGTGCATCCAGTTGGTTCTGCTGCAGAGTACTTCTCCAGGCTCCTTGAGGCCCCATGCATTAGGCCCTCCCCTTCCCAAGAACCAGTCCTTCCTCACTGCGGGGGCCCCAGAGGGGGCTTCTGTCAACCCTGTGCTGTTCCAGTGAAGTATGGTTTGTCCAGGCACTGTTCTCATGCTGCAAGTCTTGAATTATCTCAGACTTCTTTGGAGCCTAGGATCTTGTATATAAAGAATTTAGGGATAATCCCCTCATTGTTATTTCTCAGGAGCCCACCATTTTCACTTCAAAGTCTTTAACACATTCCCTGTTCCCCTAGATCCAAAGCTACTCTCCTGGCTATCCCTTCTTTGAGTCTTCATTCAGGTGGCCCCATGAAGAGCACCGGTGCAACTTCACATTGCCCCTTTGAAACGCTAACCAGATCAATGCTGTGAACCCAGAAGCTGCTCCTAGCCCTGAGTTGATGCTCCTTCAAGACTGTCCCAAGCGTGGGCAATGTAGGGAGACCCCATCTCTACAAATAATAAAAAAAATTATCCAGGTGTGTTGGTGTGTACCTGTGGTCCCAGCTACTTGGGAGACTGAAGTGGGAGGATCACTTGAGCCTGAGAGGTTGAGGTTGCAGTAAGAAGGGACAGAGCCACTGCACTCCAGTCTGGGGGACAGAGTGAGACCCTGTCTTAAAATAAGACTATCCCCAACACTTCTCTGTTGCAGCCAGGCCTGAGATGCTGCCATTGTGCTCTCAGAAAGAGGCAGCTTGGTGTATGAACAGGATCAGCTTTAAAGTGGGATCAACCCAGGAAGGAACCTTAGCAACATCATAGAACCTTGCTGAGAACTTCCCTCAGCTGCAAAAATCAAGAAAATGTTCCCGCCCCACAGAGTTTGCTATCCAGCTGAAATGAACTAATGTATGTAAAATATTCCTACATAGAGCCCAGTATTAGTCTCTTAATGGAAACCCTACTGTCACCAAATTGGCCTTTTCCCCAGACCAAAGATTCTCAACTGGGGCAATGTTGACACAAGCTCCTCCCCACCAACCTGGTGACATTTAGCAATGTCTGGAGACACCATTACTTGTCACAACTGGGGTGGGGCTACAACAGGCATCTGATAGGTCTAAACATCTTACGATCCAGAGGAAAGCCTCCCACAATTCAGAATTATCCAATCCAAAGTATCGGTAGTATCAAGTTTGAGAACAAACTTGTTTCAGAACACCCTAAAGCTGCCAGTTGCCACTGATACTGCCTCAGCAAATTCTGTCTACTGGGGCTGCTAATTCTGAGTCTGTCAAGTGTCTGCCGCTGCTCCCCTAAACAAACTGCCACACTGGCTTTCCAGAGATTGTCAATGCCAAACTCCCTGATGACATTTTGGACCTCTGGTGTGCTAGAGCTGACAGAGAGGGGAACTCTGGTGCCCATATTGAGTGCACCAGACTCTCAGTTCTTATAGCTCTGTAGGGCCCATGAAATAAGTCTTGCTGTACTATTGCATTGCTTTTCTCATTAGGAAATCAGAGCAGACCTCA